CACCACTCAACACCAAGTGTACGGAACACTTTTTTTCATTTTTTCATTTTTTTCATTTTTTCTCTTGGCCCGCGCCACCCGGTTGCAGAGCGACCACAATTGTGTTGGAACATGCAATCGCCGAGACTTGACACAGGGATAGAGGACGCCGTGGAGAGTGCGAAGAGAGAGGTCGCGTCGCCGTCCGAGCCGTGCAGCGGAATACGAGGCGCGATCCAAGATCTATTTATGGCACATGCCGCAAATAAGAGCGGAGTGCCATTTTTAAACCACCGCCCGCGAGCCGACGCAACTCGGCCGCCAATCTCGCGTTTGAAATGAAATCGCCCATACTTGGCACATTGACAGAAGACACTTTGGGGAGCAGAGCAGACCACGCTACGCCGCTACTGCGGTCTTATAACGCGAGCAATGGTCAACAACGCACAGATAGCATTGCTCTTTATATCTTAAGCGTTAAAAGCAAATTGCCATGCATATTGTGATCGCCACCTGCCACGTTTGTTCGCAGTTCATGCTGCAAGCGCGCAGACTCGAGTTCGTGAGACTCGTTATCAACTGGGAAAAAGCGCCAATGCTTTGCACGGCTTTGCCTCATCCAGCAGGCCTTTAGTTTAGTCGTGTAGGACATACGAGCACGAAACGCAGCAGTGCTTGGAGAAGAGAATGACAGCAACCTCGAGCATTGTTCACGCCGCAAAGTGCGCTCCATGACGTCGGGCGTACGGCAGGGTGGTCGCAAGCGGATGTCCTCTCGACTGTGAACGGTAAAACTAAGCTCGTGCGGCCAAGAGGTCCTTGGATGGAAACCGCTGGCAGCTATGGGTTGATAGGGGCCGTAGCGGCAGAAAAGGCCATTGCGTTTACGTTGGGCGTCTACGCGCTGTGAGGTATATATTCAGTCTACCGAGATAAGCGCCGGCAGAGACAACCTCGAGCACGGCTTTGAGGATGGCCTCGACCCAATTCCTCGACCCCTGCTCTCGACCTCGCTCACGCAACCCTCGACTAATTCTCCGGACATTATCCGGATGCCAGTCAGCGGCAATTCCAAATTGATCGCCACGGCGACGACGAGCCAAAACGCTGCGGCCGAAGGGGCACACGAAGCTGCGCATCGAGCTTGGAGCGCGCGCGACGTCTGATAGCATCGAGCCGCATGCTTACAACCTCGACCACCTTCCGCAGCGTGCTTTGCTGCTCGCACGAGGCAGTCAACCGCTCGATTGGCATCAAGATGTGCGTATCATTACCGGCCGCGTGCTCAGTGCTCACTAGCGTGTAGGGTAGCGCCGCCGGCGGCGGCTGCGCCCAAGCCGTGCCCATGGACGAGTGTCGAGATTCTCGACACTCGGGGCTGACGCTGCGACGTGACGGGCGACATTCACGGCGGTCAGCAACCTCGTACGTAGCGCCATCTACGCTCGCTGAGGACTTATGCCGATGCTAGTTGTCCGCGGGCATGGACGCGCGTCTGTTTCACACGAGTCGGCGCAGAAAAACAATGTCGCTCGCTGTCGCAGCGCTTCGAAATCCTCACAACGACATATACCAGGCGCTCTTCAACCGTCTCTGTCCGCCCAAGACGGACAGTACCCGCGTCTCTGCGCCCGCGATGCTGCGCCGCCTTCGCAAGCTTGGAATCGACAAGACGAACCCGTCCGAGCTCACGGAGGACGAGATCAGTCGCGTTGCCCGCCTCGACATCGACCCGGCGACGCGCACGTGGTAGGCGCTCCTGTCCTACTGGCGATATATGCAGCTATCGACGCACGATGTAGGAACCGCGTCTTGAATTCGTGCGACCGCTTCCTCTGTGGCATCGCCACTGGCAAGGCACCGACCGACGAACGTGAAACCGGCTTGACATTACGGTACATGGCCGTTCTTGCAACATTTTTCCGATGACAATGTTGTTATCATGTGGGTAGGTCGCGAGCGAGCTTATGGCTGTCTTGGCGCTGGCCACGAGCCTCGATGACAAGTGCGAGCGCCTCGGCCGCATGGTAGACCCTATGCGTCGCGGCGGAAGGAGTATGATGTTGATCGCTGCATCTAGGTGGTGGGTATGCGCCGCAAGGGCGACCCGGTCACGGCCGACGACCTCATGTCGGCGGTGTGCTCACGGCGCTCATGAAGGGACTGAAGCGGTGGAGCAGACGCCGGTGCTCGTGCACACTGGGCCGTTTGCCAACAGTGCCCACGGCAACTCGTCGATCATTGCCGACCAGATTGCGCTCAAGCTCGTGGGGTGGCGCCGAAACCGGGTTTGGCGCCGGCATTGGCATGGAAAGGTTTTTCGACATCAAGTGCCGCTCCTTGGGCCTGCGCCCGCAGTGCGTCGTGCTCGTCGCGACCGTGCGTGCGCTCAAGACGCACGGCGGTGGCCCCACGATCACGGCCGGCAACCCCGTACGTATTTTTGTAGTGCTTGTCTTTTGGATGATTTTTACGACCTTTTTCCCTAGCCGTCTGGTAGAGGCCGTGCTCGTCGACGACCCGCACGCTTGGTACTTGCGAGGTCTCGCCGCGTGCGCCCGAGGCCGCGGCGTCAACGCGAACGTGTCGCTGACCTCGATCTTTGTGGCATCGACGCGCCGCTTGATCGCGTCTGACACGAGGTACACGGTCCTTTTCGCCACGTGGGTCTCACAGAGGATCCAGGTGGCTTTTTGTATTGAACGAGGTTCGAGCCACTGCACGCGTGCGAAGCTCTGGACGACGGACTTTCGGGGCGTCTCCGAAACTGACGCCGCCACGGACCAAGCGCAAGGCTGAGGACGCCGGCGAATCTTTTGTCCAAGACCGAGACTCCTCCGGCGCCGTTTCGAGCTCATTCATTGCCCACTCGCTGTGCGCATCGACCCTTTGAAGAGCAGCGTGAGCCTCGGTAGCTCGCAAAGATGGCCTCGCGCCACGACATCGAAAACGAGATGGGTAGCTCTCGTGACGCTTTGCACGTTTGCCGGCAAGAGCGTGCGCCAAGGTTGAAGCCGCCTCGTCCAGGCGCCAACGTCCCATACGACGCTACGATGTGTGCCAAGGCCGAGGACGAGTTGGCCGCCGACCGAATGCAACAAAGACGATGGTCACATGCGCACAGAAAGACCTCGAGACTCGATCTTAGTGAGCTAGAATAAAAGAACGTATTAAGAGAATCTACTGTCCTCGCAGCTCTGGAAGACACTCGGAAAGGCACAGCAAACTGCAGGCCGGTACTAGTGCACTTCTTAAAAGTGAGGCTTCTTGTAGTTGACCTCGACGGTCAACCACTCATCCTCGAGAACCGCACATCCGTCAGTGTGCAGTCCCCGCACCTTCCCACATTCATATTATCATCATTCGACGTCGTGTCCCACTCGGTCATCTGCGACTACCCAAGATCCAAGCACAGACGGGAAACTCCAGACATACATAAGTAGTCGTGTCGTTTCATACCATCTTGGGTAAACCTTGGTCGCTGACTACTTGGGACTTCTTGGCGTTTCATACTTGGTAGACGTCGTTCATGTCGAGGACCTTCTTGACATCCATGATGCCCATGTCTTCCCGGAACATCTCAAACTTCTTCTGGCCGAGCGGCTTCGTGAGAATGTCCGCCTCGTTGTCTTCGCTTGCCACCGTGTTGATCACCATCCCGAGCGTCTCGACGTACTCGCGGACGTTGAAGTAGCGCACCTCTATATGCTTGGACCGCTTGTGCGACCCGGGATGTTCACACAAAGAAGCCGCCCCGTGGTTGTCAATGAAGAGGTTGATGTTGCCGGCCTTCAAGCCTGCCTCTTCGAGCATATGTGCCGTCCACACGGCGTCACGCGCCCCCGTGCTCGCGGCGATGATCTCGGCGTGGCACGTGCTTGTCGAGACGACCCCTTGCTTCTCGCACTTGGCGTTGATCGTCTGGCCGTTGATCTTGGTCACGTACCCCGAGATGGCCTTGTAGCTCGTCTTGTCGTTGGCGTAATCCGAGTCGACCCACACTTCAATCTTGAGGTCATCGTACGTCAAAGCCTCCTCGAGGTCGTAGACGATGCCAAATGTGCGCGTCCCGACAAGGTACTTCACAACGCGCATGGCCATCTTCCAGTGAGCTGGGGTATACGTGTTGAGGTACCTGGCGAGGTTACGTACTGCGTTGCCAAGCTCAGGCCTCGAGCCCGACACGAGATACTGCAAAGCGCCCACCAGGTTGCGGTACGGGAAGTGTTGCATCGCCACCTCCGTTGAGTTCGGGTTTCCTTCTGGCTCTTGCCCGAGCACTTGCGGCGTCGTCACAGAATTCATGTTGACGCTGCCAAACTTGGAGATGATCTGGTCGATGAACTTGGTCTGCGAGAAGCACAGAGCATGACCCGGCACGTAGTCAATTTCAATGCCGAGAAGGTACTTGAGATCGCCCATCGACTTGATTTTGAAGCGATCAATGAACGCACGCTCAATCGGCAGCGCAAATTCGTCCTCGCCGAGGATGATCATGTCGTCGACGTAGATCGTCACGAAGAGGACGTCGGGTTGCCCGTCCTTGCCCACCACCTTCTTCGTGTACAAGCCATAATCCTTGGCGTTGCGCTTGAAGCCGTGCTCGAGCATGAACTCATGAAACATCGAGTTCCATTTGCGCGGTGCTTGGTGAAGACCGTAGAGCGTCTTGAGCAGAAGACAAACCCAATCTTCCTTGCCGATCGTCACAAAGCCCTCGGGTTGGTCCATGTAGACGTCTTCGTCGCCTTCCAGCGAAGCGTTGAGAAACGCCGTGACAAAATCGTACTGACGCATCTTCCATCCTCGCATCGCGGCGTAGAGAAGGATCGCACGAAGCGTCTCAAAGCGCACGACGGGGGCGTACGTCTCGTCAAAATCCACGCCGTGCACTTGTTCGTAGCCCTTTATGACCACGCGACCCTTGAAGCGACGCTTACCAACGCGGTCGACCTTGACCTTGAAGACCCACTTGTTGCCGAGAACCTTGCGACCTTGTGGACGTCGTACGAGTCTCCATGTCGCGCTCTCGTAGAGTCCGTCGATCTCAGTTTGCATCGCTTCCTTCCACTTGGCCTCATTGCGCGACTTGATCGCTTCCTTGTACGACGTTGGGGTGTCATCGTTGTCGTAGTCTTCGAGGAGGATGTAACACTTCGCTGCATACGCCACCTTCTTCGCGCTGCGCTGCGGGCGCTTGTTGGTACGCACATACTCAATGATCTTGCCCTTTCCTCGCTTGTTCGCTTCTTGGCGCTGCTTGCGAGTACGCTTGCCGTTGCCGTTCACCTCATCTGTATCTGAAGACGAGGAGGCCGGTGCTGAGCTGGCCTTGATGATCGGCTTCGACAAGATCTTTGGCAATGTCTTCGACGAGTCCGACGATGGCGCGTTCGAGCTGCCGAAATCACCGTCGTTCATGCGATCGAAAAACTTCTGGAGGTCGTCGCTGCTTGCAAGTGGGACGTACGTGTCAGGTACATCAACCACTGGCAACGTCATGAACGGAATCTTGCACGGCAACGTGTCCTTGGTCTTCCCGCTCACGATTTGAAGCAGTCTCGACACGTACGTGTTCTCGACCGTCTGATCCTCGTGGAACTTGATCATCTTTGACCGCGCGAGGTAGATCTTGCCATCCCGCAGTCCGAGAAGGCGGTAGCCACGCGTCTCGCCGTCGTAACCCATCATGAGACACGGCATCGCTCGAGGTGCAAGCTTCCGACCTGCACGGTACTTCTTCTCCACAAACTTGAGCGCCAAACAGCCAAAGGGCTTGAGGTACGAGATGTCAGGGACGTTCCCATGCACCACAGCGTACGGCGTCTTGCCATCCAGTGCCTTGGAGCTCGTGCGGTTGATCGTGTAGGCGACATACTTGATCGCCTCGCCCCAGAGCTCTTCTGGCATGCCCGAGGCTTGAAGTACAGTGCGCACCTTGTTGAGCAGGACGTAGTTGAGCTTCTCCACAAGACACACCTCCTCGGGACAGTACGGGTGGCTGAGCTGCTGCGTGATGCCCACCTTGCACAGCTTGTCAATCTTGGCGTTCGCAAACATCTTGTCGTAGTCCGTCGATATAATCGCGATCTTGATGTTGTAGAAGCGTTCAATCGTGCGCACAAGCTTGATCGCCTCGTCCGTAGCGTCGCCTTTCTGAAGCATCGTCTCGACAAAGACAAAGCGCGACCCCTCGTCGACGGCACCCAAGTAGCACGTCTTGCCACCTGGCGTAACAACTTCGCCCATGAAGCCGATGTGCATGATGAGCTTCCGGAAAGGAACCGTTGTCCGAGTTGGCGCCGTGTTGAAACTCATACGCTTCATCTTGCCCATCGTGCACGACACACAGCAGTCGCTGTTAGCATAGTCCGACGCGCCGAGCGTCATGCCTTCCACGACGTTGTCCTTGGCCATCTGCTTGACGACGTCCATGGACGCATGAGCAAGTCGGTTGTGCCAAATGCGAAGATGCGAGGTCCGTGCCTTGCTGGCGTCGCTCTGGTAGCAAACAAATGGAGGCGCCGCATGATCGACAACCTTGGCACGCATTCGATGCATGCCATTGACGAGTGTAAAGATGAGACAAATGTCGTCGTTCTGGACCCAGATCACCTTGTTGTCCGCCGAGAACGCAGCCAGCATCCCGTGGTCCTCGCGCAAACGCGTGAGACTGAGCAAGTTGACCGTCGAGTTCTCGTCAAAGTTCATCGGCAGCTCCATGCCGACGTTCTTGTCGTCGTTGCTGTTGCAAAACTCGAAGACAGCCAAACCATTATGTCGCTGGACCGACTCCTGGCCGTTGATCCATGCAACCTTGACGAGCCCCGGCAAAAACGACTTGAACGCACGGGCAATGTTACAAACGTTGGCCGTCGCACCCGTGTCGAGGATGAATTCAATGACCCCGTCGTCTTCGTGAGACTCAGTGCCTGGGCTGAGAACGGCGTACAAACTGGCTTCGCTCTCGGTCTTGATACCTCGATGACCCGGCTTGCCTTCACCCTTCTCCTTGACAAAAGGTTTGGTGTCGTCTTCTTGGGCAAATCGGGCCTTCTTCTTGTTCTTGCACGTCGACTGGTAGTGGCCCGTCTGCTGGCAGTTGTAACACGTGATGTGCGAGAGCCCCTTGAACTTGCGCTTGTTCTTGGGGCTCGCACGCACAAAGTTGATCAGCTCGGCCATCTGGTCTGCATAGTTGATCGACGCCACAGGCTCGTGCTCGACCATCGACGTCTTCCCTGAGGCCACTGGTACGGGCTCACCCCACTTGTGCTTGTCGATCTCGTACTGCGCACGCAGGTACGTTATGTAGTCGTTCGGTGACGCACGCTTGGCCGCCTTTCCGTTGTAGCGCAGGCCAATGTCGATGTACGCACTCGTGTGGATGATGAGCATCTCCTTGCTTTCTTCCGGCTGCATTGGTCGTCCAATGTCGTGCAACCGCTTCTCGAGCATCTTGTACGTCGTGAGGTACTCGTCCATCGTCATCCGACGTGGGTCGAACTCGGCTTTGTGAAGCTCGCCCTTGACCTTGGCCGAGTTGGTGATCTCTCTGCGCACGTACTTCTGCAGCAGATAGTCCCACATCTCTTTGGCAGTCTTGAACGTGCTCGTCTCTCTCTTGTTCGTCACATCAAGAGACGTCGTGATGACCGACTTGGCCTTCAACATGCCGCGCATATAATCCTTGTATTTGACCGGCTTCTTGCGCCGACTTGGCTTCTTGCGATCGCCCGAGACAATGTCCCAGATCTCTTGCTGCGCGAGCACAGACTTCACGTCCGCGCTGTAGCTACCAAAATCGGTGCCATCGAATTTCGGGATCTTGTCTGGCGGAGCGAGTCGACCGCTCGCTTTGTAACGTTGACCATTGTCGCTGGAGCTCGAGCTGTCGTCACCGCTCGAGTTACTTGGCGGCTCATTCGAGCTGTTGCTGCTGCTGCTACTGCTGCTGCTGCTGCTACTGTCGCCGCCGTCGCCACTGCCGCCATAAGCTTCGCTCGACTTCTTCTTTGTTTTCTTCTTCTGCGCGTGGACCTTCTTGCTCGGGGACCCACCGCCCCGCTTGGGTGAGCCCCCATCCTTCTTCGATCTGCCTTTCGGCGTCTTGTGGCTCAGGGTCCCACCGCCCCGCTTGGGTGGGGTTCCCTGACTTTTGATCTTCTCTTCGTCACTCGCGCATTCCTTCTCTCTTTCTTCAATGGTCTTGGCGACATCCCGACGTTCCTCGAGAATCTCCTCGAGCAGAACGTCGACGTCGTGCATGAGCTTCTGCCCCTTCTCGAGTGGTTTCGTTGGGCTCATAACCTAAGAGAATCTACTGTCCTCGCAGCTCTGGAAGACACTCGGAAAGGCACAGCAAACTGCAGGCCGGTACTAGTGCACTTCTTAAAAGTGAGGCTTCTTGTAGTTGACCTCGACGGTCAACCACTCATCCTCGAGAACCGCACATCCGTCAGTGTGCAGTCCCCGCACCTTCCCACATTCATATTATCATCATTCGACGTCGTGTCCCACTCGGTCATCTGCGACTACCCAAGATCCAAGCACAGACGGGAAACTCCAGACATACATAAGTAGTCGTGTCGTTTCATACGTATCAAACGATGTAGATCAATGGTTTACCAGAACTAGACCTTGGTTTTCTACCGGCCTTCCATGCGTACTCCCACGATACACACTGCCGAGCGCAGTTCGGCCCACGCTCTATCATGGGCACCGGGACAACGCTTTTGTCAACCTCGACATGTCCACTGAGGTCCTCGTCGTCGATGGCCACGTCATCGAGCGAGTACGAATAGATGCTGCCGTCGTCGACAGCTTCAACGTCGCTGGCGATGTCCTCGTTCCAATCGACGACTTGATCATCGTTGTCTTCGCTGAGATCAATGACTTCGTGGGCGCTGCCGTCAGCACCACATGTGTTGTCCGACTCGGTGACGGGATCGTCGGCCATGTTTCTGGGCACGTCGTCGTCTTGGTCGTCGTCGATGCTCCAAGTGCCTTGGGGAGATGCGCATGCGGTGGGTGCGTAGGGCAGACGTCTTCGGCGACAAGGAACGTTGCGTCGGGTCCTGAGTTGCGACGAGTCGCGTCGCTTGCCGCCAGTTGCTGCTTGAGCGCAGCTTGTTGATAATCGATCGCCGTCTGCACGTATATTTTGAGGTTGGAGACGCGCAGAAGCGGGGAAGTCGTCTTGACCACCGCGGGCGAGACACTCTCGAGCTTCTTTTTCATGACGAGCGCGACGTCGCACCATGGAGTCGTGTCGGGCTTTGGCACGGCAATGGCGTACAGCAGGTCAAAAGCTCCCTCGCTCCAGCCGGCAGCGGCGGCGCGCTGGCGAAACACGCGATGCCAAATGTGTTTCTCGACGGGCGTCGTCTGCTTCTTGCGCTCTTCCGTTGCCCGTGCCACCATGTCAAAAACGTTCGGGAGCACGCGAAGCGTCCCAGCGACAGCTGTCCGTTGCCGCTCGCTCGCACGCCGCTGCGCATCGCGATACAAGACCGCTTTCGCCACGAGTGGCTCGACAAAGCGCCGCACGTTCTCCGCCGTAGCCTTTTCGGTCTTGGCTGCAAGCTTTGCGTTGACAGCGCGCGCGACGTCGTCCCATGTCACCGTGGCGGGCTTTGGTACAGCCATGTCGTGGAGCTGAGAAAGCACGTCCGCGGTCCATCCACGGCTATTGTACTGCTGCTGCTTCGCCGCACGATCCCAAAACGACGGCCGGTGCTTCCTCCGCGGGCGCCGCCGTGGGCCGGCCCGCCTTGACACCGCGGCGAAGCAGCAGCAGTACAACAGCCGTGGATGGACCGCGGACGTGATTTCTCTGCTCCACGACATGGCTGTACCAAAGCCCGCCACGGTGACGTGGGACGACGTCGCGCGCACTGTCAACGCAAAGCTTGACGCCGCGGCGAGGCGCGTTGAGTTGGCCTGTCTTGCGATCCTTGGCCGACGGCGCTGGTTGCCGGGCCATCGCTCAAAAGTGGCTGGGGATCGAATCTTGCCCTTTGGTGCATAAAAAACGGCTGGTGCACGATCGGGATATAGTGTGCGCATCGTCGCCGCTCATGAATCAAAGCACTTTCGACGTTCGCAGAGACTGACGACGACCAGGACGACGACCCTGGTCTTTGACAAGACCAGTTTACGGTGGCGCCGCGGCCTCGATGGCGCTGCAGGTAGCATTTCTGTCGCCTACAGCGGCTAAACCGACACATGCACCCAACGCGTGGACCGGATAATCTACGCGTATCCGGTTTGGCCGCCCAGCATCGGCATTTGACTGTTGCATTTGGCCCCTGCCGCCATCGTCATGACGGTCACCATGCGCATGCGCTCCTCGCCACCGACGATTATGCCTGTCTCGAGGTATTAATCGACGCGATGCTTGCGCCGATGCTTGCCGCACGCCTGCCCATGCCAGCACGCACGAGCCGCCGCGTTATCGCACGAGTGCTCACCGCGACGCACCGATACGGCGTGAGGGCGCGACCGTCCGCCGGCTTCCGGACCACGACGTCGACTTCCATGGGCAGGTACCTTGTCGCGCCGTGGGACCGTACAGTCCACCACATACGATCTGCAAGGCGCTACGGCCTTGCAAGCATAGGCGTGGCGTGTTGCGAGCGCGGCGCCGCTCAGAAGGACGACCGCCGGTATGGGAAAACCACCGCCCTGGACTCGTTGGACGTTGTCGTGAATCTCGTAGCACCGGCCAATGTGCAGCATGTGCAAAAGCACAAAAGACGTACCAAGGCTTCTCTTTACATCATGTAACGAAGACCTTGACACCTCGTCATTGCGCGCATGTCTTGGGCAAGGGCCTCGAAGCGTTTCTGCGTACCAGCACGCTCGAGTGAGCAGTACGCCCGTGGCCCGCCAGATGCTGCGGGCGGTCTCGGCGAGCGTGTGCAGCTGGCGTGCCTCCAGACCCATCAACATCACCGCCTATTTTAGGGTCGCTCCCTCAGCTACGTCAAGGCTCCGAGTCTCTGAGGCTCGAGATCTTGGTCATCACGAGTGGCGTCGCGCTCCAGATTTTCTTGGCGCAACTCCAGACGACGTTTGTCAAGGCATATGTACCAGCTGCGGGACATTTTGCAGCAGCTTTTGAACCTGTGCTGATGAAAAATACAGGTCTCTTGAATATCTGTTTGCTCTTTTTTGCAGAGGAGCTTGGATGCTGCGTACACTCGAAGCTCTTCGACTGGCTCCAAGAGCGTAGTACCGCGCCATCGTGTACGAATCGCCCGGTATACTTGCTTCTCGGCGGCGGTCCTTGCACGCTGCCACGTACAGTCTATGTGACCAATGCGGGTGCCACGTCATTATGCGTTGCGGAGGACCTTCCAGAAAGCATAGAAGCTTGCCCGGACGACCATTGGCCGACTTGCCGTCTTCTGCAAAGCACACGTGGGTACACGAAACGACCTGATTTCAGATCCAGATCGTAGCTATATCAGGACGAGATCCACGTGGAGTGCTATGGCTGGCATCCTTCCGGGGATATCCAGGACGTTTTTGGTTTGAACAACCAAAGACCGTTTGGACATTGTCAAACGTT